GATAACTCTCTTTGGAACCAGGAAACATGGGTGGTGTGGCACTGTGGAGGGGGTATTAGACTTGGTGTCACCAAGACTCAAATTCAAATCTTGTCTCAGATATTCAGTGACCCTCACAAAGTCACGTAACCAATCATTATTGCCAAAGTCACTTAAATGGTTTCCTCATCTGTCAAATGGGGATAATTAGGCTCAATATATCTAGAGCGAGAAGGAAACTCAGAGGCCAGTGAATCTAACCCCCTTATTTTATAGATGAGGAAATTGACCTCCAGATTGATAAAGTGACTTGCCCAAGGTCAACACAGGCAATGAGCAACGAAGGTGCGATAGGAACCCAGATGATGGAAAGAGAGTTTTGGAGTTGGAAGGGACTTCCTCAGAAACCAATTAATCCAACTCCCTCATTTTGTAAATGAGAAAATGGAGCCTCCTCAGAAGGAGATGAAAGAATACCTGCCTTCAGGCACCTTAAATTCTTCTGAGAGAGTTAAGACATACACATCTGAGTACATACAGCATGTATGCAAAATAAATACAAGGGAATTTGGATGAACAGACACTAACAGCTGGGGGGTGGGGGTGGGATAGGACAGCATTGAATCCAGGCTCTGAGATATCACTTACTCACTAATCCACATTTACTTCAGACTTGGACCTCCCCACTCCCAAGAGAATTTGCAGAACAGCTTATAGGTTAAGGCAAGCAGACACAGTGGATGACTGCAGGTACCAGAATGCTGGGAGAAGGTAAAGGGGGAGGGGAAAAGGGTTGGCAAGGAATCCTGGTTCTAAGTTTACTAGAAACTTGGCAGGAAGGAAAAAAAGCATCCGTCTCTGAGTCAGGATAGCTTGGATCCAAGTCTTATCTCTGATTCATATTGGCTGTAGCACCTTGGACAGGGCATTGGACCTCTTGGTGCTCTCAGACAGGGCTTGAAGACTATGAATTGTACAATGGGCAATAATCTGCGTTGATAGAGGGAGATCTCATCCCCTTTCTCCCAAAAAAAGTGAGGCAAATGATTTGGGTCATGTAGTTTTGTTAGGGCAGCTAGGTGGCACAGTGGATACAGCCATGGCTTGGAATCAGGAAGACATCTTCCTGAGTTGAAATCTGGCCTCAGACACTTGCTAGCTGTGTGACCCTGGGCAAGTCACTGAACCTTGTTTGCCTCAATTTCCTCATCTATAAAATGAGCTGGAGAAGGAAATAGCAAACCACTCCAGTAGCTTTGCCAAGAAAACCCCAAATAGGGTCACAAAGAGTCAGACAGGACTGAACAACAACAACAAAATCTATGTATTTTTATCAACCATTTAATTTCTCTGCAGAATGAAAATCCTTTATTCTAGCAATTCACATTGGGGGAGAGGATGCGGGGGAAACAGAGTGCACATTCCTCTACATTATCTATCTTGCTTTTAGCCATGTTGGAGGAGTTGGACAGGGAGCACCTCTGCATTCCCTATAGTTTGTAAAAGTTCTGACCCACCTTTGGTCACCCATTAGATACAAGGAGGTACAGGGGAATGGAGTAGAAGGGTGATTTATCCCTTATGAAGTACACTGATGATCTGCAGAACATCTGAGGAGAGTGAACCAGATGGTAAATGAATGAGTTTATGAAGACCCACTGAAGGAATTGGGGATGTCCAGCCTGAAGAAGAGGGGACACAATGAGAGTTACCTCTAAATAACTGTTGAGCTGTCTTGTGGAACAGAATTAGATGTGTCCTTGCTTCACTCCAGCAGACAGAATTAGGAGCCAGTGGGTAGAAGTCACAAGGAGGCAAATTTAAGCTTGATGGAAGGAAGAGCATCCTAACAGAGCTATCCAAAAGTAGTTTGGACTTCCACGGGAGACACTAGGTTCTCCTTCCCTTGACTTTAGGCTGAGGTAGAATGACTACTTGCCATGGATATTGGAGTGTGGCTTTTCATTCCAGGATGAGATTAGGTGACTGTTGGAGTCCCTTCCAGTTCTGAGATTCAGGGCAGAATTCTGGGACATCTATGTGGAATGGGTAGAATTTAGTGTATCAGGAAAAAAGTGGTGCTCCCGTGATACACTGAGGAATGAGAGGAATGGTTGGCCACATGGGTTGTCCCAGAGGACCTGGCAGATAGAACCCGCAAGTTGACTTCACTGATCCTTTCCTATGTTGGTAACTATTCCCAAGATAACCTCCTCCTCCCTTCTCCAAGCCCCTGGATTAATTAGCCTCCCTACTCCACTGTCAATGGCCACAGTTCTCCTAGGAGGTCTTCTCAGAGCCTCAGAGCTGGAAGGGAGCTCAGCAGCCATCTCGTCCAAACAAATATTCCCAAAAGAATCCTCTTTACAACATCACATGTGGCAGCTAGGGGGTACAGTGGATTGAGCTCTGGACCTGGAGGCAGGAAGACATGAGTTCAAATCCAGCCTCAGACATATATTAAATAATCATCCTGGGCAAGTCACTTACCCTCTGGCTGCCTCAGTTTCCTCATCTGTAAAATGGGGAGAATAATACCACCCACCTCCCAGGGGTGTTATAAGGATCAAATGAGATAATATTTTAAAGCATTTAGCATGGTGCCTGGCACATAGTAGGAACTATATAAATGCTAGCTGTTATCATCACTATCGTTATTATTACTGTGGTTGTAAAATTAGACCTCAGAGCCAGGAGAGAAGGGGGAGGTGATTGAGAATAAGATGTTAGGTTTGAAATATGCCACTGACTTCCCTGGAAAACCCAGTCTGAGTGGCTTTGTTGGTGTTCCCTTCTAAAAAGGCAAGAGTAGCCTGGTCACAGGTCAGTTAGATGCTGGCCTTCCTCAGTGTGCAGAAGTGGGCATGAGGGTACACAGTTTTACCGTAGCCCAGTAGTGGATGTGTCTCCCATTTAGGCTTTAAGCTCATCTCACCTTCATGAGGAGAATATAGGCAAGTACATCTAGGTCCCAATTACTATAAATAATGAATCCTGTGAGGTAGTCACATTATTTGAACTCACATGGCTTATTTCCATTGGACTGGAGTCAATGACCATGTTTAACATAATTATGATTTTAAATATTATGGATTCAAATACATGTGACCACTTCACAAGATTCATTATTCACACAAATTGGGACCTGGATGTTTTCCCCACACCCCAAATTCCAGTCTCTTTCCTCTGCTCTGCCTCCAGAGCCTACTTAAGCCATTGACCAATGGACTTGGAATAAGGCACCGCTCTGAAAGGCTATCTCATCCCTATGAATTCTTGGTGACACTGATTGGCCTCATGCATGAGCAGTCACTGTCATTTCTATCTCCATAATTGAGTCATCCTCCCTATGGCCAGTCTCTTCTGATCAAGAAGGGACTTGACAAAACCTATTTTTGTGTGAAGTATTCAGATAAATCAGGCAAAACCAGGCATTGACTATTGGTTGAACCCATTTGCTCTTTGATCAATAAAGACCTGATAGAAGGAAACCAAACTGGGTTGCCAAGACTTTAAAATGCCACACTGCTCCTAAAACGCATTGATAGAAGGAGTTCCTCATGGGGAGCTCCCATGGATTATAACAACCCAGACCCAGTTGGTTTTTTTTTTAATCTACAAAGACTTGGACTATGCCTCCAAAATATGAAAGGTGAAAACGATGGCATTCCTCTTCCTGGATTCCCCTAGTCATCACCTATCAAGACTGCCAATCTTTCTAATCCAGTCCAACTATTGGCCAACCACTCAAGTCATACCAGAGTTCTTCTTCCCCTTCAACAGTCTAAAGGAATAGGTCTACTCTTCCTGGTGGTTTTTTTTTTTATTTCTACATATATATGTGTAGCCCCATATACATATATATTCATTCTGTGTATCCATGAGTCAACCTAAACAGTAATGGTGATTTAATGAGATTGGTACCTTGAGGTTCCCAATGAGAAATCAAAGAGAATTCACTATCCTCAGTGGCAAACAGCCAAGCTTAAAAAAATTAAAATTTAAAAAGAAACTGAAAATTTAAAAAAAAGCAAAGCAGAGAGTAAGGATTTGAAGAGAGGGTTTATGTTTTTTCTTGTAATTTGAGACTCTAATGATGGACTGATGTTCCCCGCTCTTCCCTTTTTCTTACACCTTACCTACTAAAGGAGGAAATCTTGATTGGTAAGTGGATGCTATCCGCTAAGACCTTAGGGATTGTATTAGAGACCACTCCAGAGCTTTAGCCACCTTCTCCAGGGGGAAAAACACACACACACACACACACAGAAATCTCTGTATAGACCTTTTTTTATTTTTTTTTTCAGCTGAGGATTTCACTTTCTTTTTTTTCAGTTCTTTTTATTTCATTTGATTTTTTTTCTTTTTCCCCTTAGTTGAAAGGTGCTAAATATGTTGATTTGCAAGTTTTCCTTTATACTTAATGTCTTTTTTTTCTCTTTTTTTCTTTCTTTCTTTTTCTTTTTGTGTGATGTTTGTTCCATGTTCTATTCAGGAAATGCTTTTTCTTTAGAAAAAAAAGGCAAATTCATTGAGAATTTGGTTCAACTTTAAAGTTTTGGGTTTATCTTTTTTTCCCAAAAGAAAATATTTCTAAGTCCACATATCCCTGTTATTTTCATTTTTTTTCTTCCCCAACACCCCACTCACCCACCCCCATCTTTTTTTGTTTAGATTGCCTTGAGGGATGTTGCATTCCCTCTCTATTTAGTTTCCTTCCTTTTGTTTGAGTTAATTTATTAGAAAAAAAATCCTTCTGTTTTTTTCTTTTGTTCAGTCTGGATCGCATGCTACTGATCTGTGCATGATATTTCCAAATTTCCAGTTTCCATATCAGGGGGAAAACAAGTGTCTCCTTTCTGTGGTTTTCTTTCAGGGATATGTTCTTTTTGTCTGGGCTTCTCTTCTCTCTTTCTTTCCTTTTGTTACAGTGCATCATGAAGGTAACATTTCTTGGTTTAATTAGACACAGCCCAGGTGCCCAGTGCTTAGCCGTGCCCAACGGATCTTTTTACTTTCAGATTTCTCAGTCGGGGTCTTCCGTTGACCTCTTTACCAAAACAGTCAGCCCGCTTGGCAATCTCGTGGCTCCCCGAGGAGAGTCCCAGGAATACGACTCAGGAAACGACACCTCCTCCCCACCCTCCGCAAGGACCAGCTCCTTCAGTCCCCAGGATGGCCAGGACAAAGGGAGCCCCGGCCGGCCCGGAGGCGGCGGGGGTGGCTTGGCCGCCGTCAAGCCCAAACTACTGCTCACCAGTGATAACAGCTCCGATTCGGGGAATTCCTTCACTACTTGTTCTTCCCAGACCAAGGGACCCAGTTTGGAGACTCTCTCTTCAGGGCCCCAGGCCACGGACTCAAGGTCAGTGCCACCAGCAGAACCACCAGCCCTGAAGGAATCAAGCCTATCCAAGCAATTGGAGAGTCAATTCCAAAACCCAACCTTGAGCAAATGTGCCCCTGGTTCTCATCCCTGGTTTTACCACAATACCAAGGGGACACAAGATTATTATTGACTTTGAGTAAGAAAGTTTATAAGACGTGGTTTAGTTTAAGTCCAATGTATTTAATTTTCTTTCTTTTCTTTTAATTTTGAAGCAAAATACTTTGTCGGGAACCTTTCAAAACTACAATGATATATTACTTACTTTTTTAGTGGATGGGAGAGGGAGTGGAGGGGGGGGGAATTCAGAACTCAAAATTCTTTTTTTTTTTTTGGTGAGGTAATTGGGGTTAAGTGACTTGCCCAGGGTCACACAGCTAGTAAGTGTCAAGTGTCTGGTCTGAGGCCAGATTTGAACTCAGGTCCTCCTGACTTCAGGGCCGGTGCTCTATCTACTGTGCCACCTAGCTGCCCCTCAAAATTCTTTAAAAATGAAAGGTAAAATTAACAGATAATATTTTTTTTTAAAAATTAAACTACAATGATACACTCATAGTCTGTTGAGAGGTGGAAGAGGCTTTATAACAGAGGATGTTAGCATGGACCACAGGAAGTTAGAGATGGATGAGAAAATAGAATGTTAGAATTGGAATGGGGATTTGAAGGTGAGCAAGGTGCATCCGGGTGGAGCTCTTCAGGAAGCAGCTGGTGATAAGGAACTAGGGCTCATGAGAGAGTTGAGGGCTTCATCTCTATATTTGAGAGTCATCTACATAGAGATAATAATTGAACCTATGGGAGGTGATGTGTATGTGTGCGTAGGAGAGAGAGGCAGAGATGGAGACAGAGACAGAGAAAGACAGAGACAGAAACAGAGAGGAAAGGGAGAAGAGAAGGAAAGGAGATGGAGAGGAGAGAAGGAGGTGAGGAGAGGAGGTGAGAAGTAGAGAGGAGTTGAGGGGAGAAGAGGAAAGGAATAAGGAGAAGAAAGCAGAGGAGAGAGGAGGGGAGGAGTTCAGAGGAGGAAAAGGGAGGGAAGGAGAGGAAAGGAAAGAGAAAGAGAGGCTCAGTACAGATCCTTCTGGTGTGCCCACGCATGGAAGGCAGGAGATGAACGATTTAGCAAATGAGAAGACTTAGAAGAAACATTCGTTCAAGTAGGAAGAGAACAAGGAGAAAAGTATGTCATGAAGGCCAAAAGAAAAAGTGCCCAGGACTAGAGGGCAGTCAACTGACAGTGTCCAAAGCTGTAGAGAGGTCAAGAAGGATAAGGTCTGAGAAAAAGTAATAGTTGGATCACTGGAGTCAGAGCACCCAGGCTGGAAACCTGATTCTACCCTATACTATTTGTGTGACCTTGACCAAGTCACTTCACCTCAATGGCCCTCAGTTTCCTCATCTGTAAAATGGAGAGCTTGGACTTGATGACCTCTAAAGTGCCTTCCTGCTCCAGAGTCACAATATCCTTGTCTTAAACACTATGCTTCTCTCATCAAAACCAAAAATCTCAATTTCTTTTGCCTGACAGATCTTGAGCCTACTCAACAGTCCAACAAAGCCCAACCCTCCAATCTCTTTCAGATGAACTGCTGTCTATCCATATCCATAACCCTTTCAAATAGGGATGACAATAGGAATACTGCTCCCTCCCCAATTCCTTTGGTATAAGATACATAAATATCAGCTAATATTATTATTTAATTATAGACATACACCCTTAAGGCATGGAATCCTAGATCTAGCTAGAACGGCCCTAAGAAGTCATCTATTCCAACTCCTTCAATTTATGGATGAGGAAACTGAGGCATAGCAGAGTTAAATGACTTGCCAAAAGTCACATAAGGAATCAACAGCAAAGCCAAGATTGGAACTCAGGGCCTGTGACTCCAAGTACAGTGTTCTTATACCCTGCCTCTATTTAAACAATTCCGCCGGAGTGGGTAGAGCTCCAGCTTTGGAGTCAGGAGGACCTGAGTTCAAATATGGCCTCAGATACTTGACACTTATTAGCTGTGTGACCCTGGGCAAGTCACTTAACCCTGATTGACTCACCGAAAAAGCAAAAATAAATAAACAATTCCACCAGATCCTCATGTTCTGATAGTCCCAACAGTGGGGTCAGTTTGACCACTCAGAGATCTGCTCTGTTGCTCAGGGCTCCACTTGCCAACCCACAAGCCAGGCTTGCCTTGGCTCTGGCCCCTCCTGAGTTTTGGCCAATATGAAGCACCTGCCTTGATTCATAAGTTTGTCCAGGTTAGGGCTTTTTCAGAATTGAGAGCCTGCCCAGGGGTCCTGCTCACATATGTTAGGATTCTGTATCTACACCTGCCATGCAAACAGAAGCTGCCGGCCTGCCAGAAGCAAGAGCCATCTGCAAACAGACATGAGTCTCCATAGAGCTGGCCCAGGGCCCTCTTTTAGAGATACTGGAGCTGGCACCACATAATTGCCCCCTAATCCTTCCTGTAGCCTGGACCCTTCCTCAGGAGGCAGGGCTGTTGAAGAGGAAGTCAGTCTATGGTACAGTTGATACCAGGCAGAGCCCTATAAGGCCAGCACTGATCGCCGAGTTATTCTATGTTTTCCCCTTAAGAAACAGAACACCCCCACCCTACTGCACAAATGGGGAAATCAAGACATAGAAAGCTTGTGGGGCCCAAACAATAGTACCCCCATTGTACAGATGAGAAATCCAAGGCATGGAGAAATTAGTATAATTACCTAGTAAGACACTAGAGCACATCCCTAACAGAGTCAGGATGGGGTCACAGAACTTTAAGGGTTCTCTTCTTCCTCGGCTCATAGATCTAGAACTGGAAGGGAATCCAAAAGTCATACAGTCCAGGAGCTTACAAATGGGGAAACTGAGGTCTGTGGAAATCTTGAGTTGCCCAAGGTAGCATCAGAAGGTAGCAAGGTCAGAAGTAGCATTGGAACCCAGGTGCTCTGATTGCAGAGGTGACCTTCTCTTTACTGCCCCACGCTGCCCTACCTTCTGGATAAAAGCCGGACTCTTCAGCCTGCTTTTCAAACCTTCCAAATTCTAACTCCAGTCTACTTCTCTATTCTTATTTGACGTCATCTCCCTTCAAGCACTCCATGTTCTGGTCAAACTGGCCTGCAAGCTGTTCTTCCAACCAGATATTCCATCTCCTGCCTTTGTACAATGCACCCACCCACCAACCCCTGGACAGCAAGATCTAGTGGAAAGAGGAAAGAAAGGATGGGGGTTCAAATCCCAACTCTGATACCTACTACCTTGAGAAAATCAGTTTAATTTCCCGAGTCCCCAGTGCCTTTCTCTGTTGGCTGTCTACACCCTGTAAAGATCCTTCCAGCTTGAAATCTTTGATCCTATGATCTTATTAATTGCCTGGGTCTCAGTCTCCTCATCTGTAAAATGAGGGGATTGAATGAGAAGACTCTTGAGGTGCTGTCCTGATTTCATATCTATGAGGCAGAAAGGGCCTGGAGATAAGGCATGTGCTACAGGCCCTTTCAGCTGCCTCTGACTATAAGCATCATGAGGATAAGGATTAATATTTGCTTTGTTTTTATGTCTATACTTTCTTCCACAGTACCTGGCAGATAGTAGATACTTAAAATTTATTAATTTGTGTATTCATTCAAGAAGCATTCATTTTTTAATTAATTAATTTAGTTATTTATTTTTAGTTTTCATCATTCACTTTTATAAGATTTTGAGTTTTAAATTTTTGCTCCTCCCTCCCCTCCTCCTTCCCCAAGATGGCATGCAATCTGATATAAGCTATACATGTACAATTGTATTAAACATATTTCCACATTAGTCATGTTGTGAAAGAAGAATCAGAATAAAAGGGGAAAACCTTGAGGAATAAAAAAAGAGAGAGAGAACATAGTATGCTTCTATCTGCATTCAGACTCCATAAACTCTGGATGTGGATAGCATTTTCCATCATGAGCCTTTGGAATTGTCTTATATCATTTCATTGCTGAGAAGAGCTAAGTCTGTCAAAGTTGGTTATCTCACAATTCAACAAGCATTTATTAAATGCCCACTATTTGCAAAGAACTGTGCTAGGCATTGGGGCGGGGAGAGAGAGAGAGAGAGAGAGAGAGAGAGAGAGAGAGAGAGAGAGAGAAAAGAAATAGAAAAGGAAAAATAGAGAAAGAAAATAGAAAGAAGAGAAAGAAAAGAAAGGGAGGAAGGAAGAAAGGGAGAGAGAAAAAAGAGAGAAAGAAGAGAGGAAGGAAATAAAAGAAGAGAAAGAAAATTTTAAAAAGAGAAAGAAAAAAGGAAGGGAAGGAGGAAGGAAGAAAGAAAGGGAGAGAGAAATAGAAAAAAGAGAGAAAGGAGAAAATAGAAAGAAAAGAAAAGGAGAAGAAAGAAAAAAGGAGGAAAAGGGAGAGAAATAGAAAAAGAGAAAAGAAAAAGAGAAAGAAAATAGAAAGAAGAGAAAAAGAAGAGAAGGAAAGAAAGGAAGGAGAGAGAGACAAGACAGAGACAGAGAGAGAGAGACACAGAGAGAATACATCTCTATCCTTGCCCTCTAGGAGTTTACATTCTATGTTTGTTGCAGCTACTTTTGAGAAATCCAAGAAATCAGAGTTGCTAGGCCTGGGTTTGGGATGGCAGCATTTCACTGTAATAAATCTGCATTCATTTGGGAATATCTCTGACTCTCCCCATCTCCAGAGGATTCCAGTCACCATGCCTCGGCTGCTCGGATGTAAAGAAGCTGAGTCCTGCCCCCTCCCCAGCCCGGACCTCCCCACTGAGAGCCTGCTCTCGGGGTAGCTCCTACAGCAGCCCTGCTAGGTCCTCCCCAGCCTCCAGCCACTCCTCCCCATCACCGAATCACAGGGGGCCCGCCCCCAGGTACACCCGAAGCCGCTCAAGCTCCTCAGGGAAGAGGTCAGTGAATCCCTTCTCAAATTCCAACACTAGCTAAGAAATGCTCTCTTCTTTTCCCTGAATGCTCACTGGAGGATTGGGGTGGAGGACTAGGGGTTGGTCAACTTCATTGGCACAGACAAAGGTAATTCCTGTCATTTTCTTGGCCCACCCGAACCAGCAGGTCTGAACCTTGGCCATGGCTCAGTTGTATCATAGATTCTATGTCTAGAATTAGAAGGAACCTTAGAAATTTAGTCAGGCTTCTAAAGCTAGAACTGGAGAAATCTCAGGGTCCAGTGGTCTTATTTTAGAATACTGGGCCAGCCGTCAGAAAGACCTGAGTTCGGATCACTGTTTGGTCACTTACTAACTCAGTGACGCTGGGCAAGTCACCTAACCTATGTCTGCCTCATTTTCTTTAACTGTAAAATGGGATAATAATAGCACCTATCTCCCAGGATTGTTGTGAGGTAAAAATGAGATAATAATTATAAAACCCTTCGCAAACTTTAAAGTATGTATTACATTACATTACATTATATTATATCATATCATGTTATATTATATTGTATTGTGTTGTTATGTTATGTTGTGTTATGTAATGTTATGTTATGTTATGTTATATTGTGTTACGTTATGTTATGTCATATCACATACTACATATCATATATTATATTTATTATATTCTGTTTATATATTAATATGTGTTATATGTTCTATTTATTGTTATATAACTATATAATATATTATATTACACTGTGATTATTTTATGTCATATCATATATCACATTACATTGTATCATATTATATCATATCATATTATATTATTACATTGTCATTATTAAATTTGTGACCCACTCTGCAGATAGGCAGGAAACGACTAGAAGAGAATGTTGCATGTATTGCCTGAACAGGTCTCTGTACTGGATTGGGGTGGGGGGAGTCCTAGGATCCTTGATTGCCTTTCTTTTTAAAAAGGTAGGGTTCTATCAGGTAGAAAGGAGGGGGTGGAGTGGAGGGAAGTCCAGAAATGACTGTGACGTCAAAACACAATGTTTCAATAAGACTTTTTTTTTTTAATGAGAAGGTGGGGCTAGATGGAATTCAAGGTCCTTTTAAACTCCAAACTGATAATTCTGATCTCGGAGGACATAAATGATCCCCAGGACATGGAGCAGAAGAAGCCATGTTGATGCCGCCGCCCTGCCCCACTACTCCCCCACTTCAAGTCGAAGGTTCAGGGTTCTTAAAAAGCAGCAGGAAACAGATATATAAATGCTGATGGAAAAGCAGGAAGGGAGAGTTGTTGTTTCTGTTGTTTTTCCAGAGGAGATGATGGTGATGATGAAGAAAATATTCTTATTAATAATAAATGATGAATATAAAAGTAATCATTTGAATGACATCAATTATTTTCATGTTTAATTAATTAAAAATAGTTATTTTAATCATTTTAACTTTAACAATAATCTCAGAGTTAGAGGAACTCTTAGAGCCTAAAGTCCAGCCTTCCTCCTAATCCCAGCATCCTTCCTACAACACCCACCTCCAAATACTTCTCCACTGGGGGAGCCATCTACCTCTGGCAGAAATCAGAGATTTTTATTAAAAGAAACCTTACGGATGAGCGACTCCAACAGCTTCCTCTCACATAGACCCTTTACCTTTCTTAAGCATGATACCCTTTTTGTGTCATTCTTCAAACAAGAAAAACTGGCCTAATATTAACAATGCTAGCTAACATTTATGTGGTACCTGTTGTGTGTCAGGCACTGTGCTAATTTTTACAATTTACAATTACAATTTACAATAATCTTTACAATTATCATCTCATTTGGTCCTCACAACCAGCCTGGGAGGAAGGTGCTCTCAATATTGTCTTTATTTTACAGATGAGGGAACTGAGGCAAACAGAGGTGAAGTGACTTGCCTAGGATAGCATATCTGAGGCTAGATTTGAACTCAGGTCTTCCTGGGCAAGACACTTAAGTTCTGTTTTGCCTCAGTTTCCTCAACTGTCAAATGGGGATTACAATAGCACATATCTCACAGGGTTGTTATGAGATTCAAATGAGATCACATTGGTCAAGTACTTAGCATAGTGTCAGGAATATAACAGGGGCTATATAAATGCTTATTTCATTCCCCTTCCTCCTCTTCCATAAACACATACTATGTACTGGGCACTATGCCAGACATTGGGGACAAAAAGATAAAAGTGAAACAATCTCTGACCTTAGGAGATTACATTCTATCAGGGGAAACTTCCTCAGATAAGTAAATATGAAAATCGATACCAACTCAACAATACTTTTTAATGAGGGTATTCCTTCATCAAACATGGCATCGGTTTCCTGATGTCATGGTCCTCTTCAAGAATGAAGGACAGGCAACAGCAACTAGGGTATATAACCTGCAGGGACCACTGTTGTCTTTGATCCCAAAGGTACCTTGCAATCATATCATATATATATACTGTGTGTCTCTCCTTCATTGGAATGTAAATTCCTTAAGAGTGAGGACTGTTTTACTTCTGCTAATGCCCAGCACACAGCCTGGCATATATTGGCATTTAATAAATGCTTGGGGATTGAATGACTGATTGATCTTAGGAGATGGATCTTGAGCTGAGCCTTGAAGGGAGGTAGAGATTCCCAAAGTCCCAGATGAGGAGGGAAAGTTTGCCAGGCACAGGGAACAGACAGCCTGTATTAAAGGTACAGAGGCGAGAGATAGGATACTGCATCAAGTTTTCCTGTAACATGGAGTATGTGAAGGGACGTCATGCAATTACAGTCTCTCTATCCATTTTTCCAAACTGCTACTCATTCTTTCCGCTGTGCCACACCTGGTTCTGCCAGGACCATCAGACAGGCTGTTTCTCCTTATACAGGTCCTACACCCGATCTCCCAGCTACTCATCCACATCCGGCAAGCTGAGTCCAGTAAGCAGAAGCCCCCGGCCCCGACGGAGTCCCAGTTACACCCGGTATAGCCCTAGCAGGTACTTGACTCAACCTCCCCAACATCTGTGGCTCTTGCAATGGATCCAGATGTGAATCTCTCCATGTCCCCCGTTGCTCCCTGGGGACAGCTAGGTAGCACAGTGAGTAGAATGCTGGGATCAGGAAGACCTGAATTCAAATCCAGCCTCAGACACTGACTAGTTATATGATCTGAACAAGTCACTTCACCTGTGTCCCTCAGTTTCCCCAAGTGTAACATGGGCATAGTAATAGCCCCTCCCTCCCCGGATATTGTGAGAATCAACTGAGATAATAATTGTAAAGTGCTTAGGAGTGCCTGGCACATAGTAAGTGCTATATCAACAAATCAGTAAGTACCTACTGTGTGCCAGGTTCCAGGGCTACAAAAAGAGGCAGAAAGGCAGTCCCTGCCTTTAAATAGATGTGAATTATTATTTTTATTATTATTCTGCCAAGAAAAGGTGAGAGACTCTCATCCACCTTGATTCCTGCTCCCCTGTTCTCATTCTCTTCCATCCAGTCCTAGACCAGGCCCATGTTTTATGAGTATGGCTCATAGTAAGCTAGGGAAAGCCTGTGTAAAAGTTTTCATTTTCTCAGTCAGGTACCACCCCAAGCCCATAAAAGATGCAATAAATTTGAATGAAAGTAGGTCATTAAAAAAAATAAAGTACTTGCCCATTTCTAATTTGTTTGGAAATGTACAGGTGCCCAGAGTCAAGGGTACCTTAAACTAATTATCCCTTAGGGATACTCTCCAGCCCACATATTCTGTTATTACCATTGCCTCCCTCAGATCCATGGAAAGTGAAATAAAAAGTGAAGCCCAGAGAAACAAACTTGACTTACCCAAGGTCACACAGCAACCAAGTCAGAACCCACAATGGACCATGGTCATTGCAGACAGAGCCAATGGCCTGGGGATGAGGGTCCATACCTGAGGATCCTTAGCCATAACCATTTCTCCCACGATTCATCTCTCCCCACCCCCCAGAGACAGAGAAAGAGACCACAAGTACGGACCCAGTGAAAAGGAGCCGCCACGGGAACGAGAGAGGAGACGGCGGCGGTCTTACTCCCCCATGAGGAAGCGCAGGAGGGACTCCCCCAGCCACCTGGAGGCTCGTCGGATCACAAGGTGAGGGGGACCTAGGTATTGGGGGCTACCCACCTTCAGCAGATACGGCTGAGTGCGTACTGTGCTGGACTGGGGGTCAGGAAGGACAGGTTCAAATCCCACCTCTGACACTGACCTCTCCACCTCAGTTCCCTCATCTGCAAAATGGGGGAAATGCTGAAGTACCAACCTCACCAGACTATCTTGAGGTTCACATAGGATAATGGATATACAGCAGTCAGTCAACAAGAATTTATTAAGTACTAACATAGGCACTGGCAATACAAAGAGAGGAAAGGGGGAAAAACACTAGATAAATGTCAGCTATCCGTGGGAGACAGAAGGAATTTGTCTTGATGGCTGCGTATCTATCTTTCTATCTTTCTTCTTTTCATTCCTTCCTTTCTCTTTCATTTCTTCCTTTCTTCCTGCTTCCCTTCTATCATTCCCTCCTACCTTCATTCTTCCCTCCCTCCCTTCATCTTTCTTTCTTTCCTTCCTCCCTTCATCTTTTTCTTTCCTTCTCTCCTCCTTTCATTCTTCTCTTTCTTTTCCTTCCTTCTTTCCTTCCTCCCTCCTTCCCTCCCTTCCTGTTCTTTCTTTCCTTCCTTCCTCCACCTCTCATCTTTTCCCTCTCATCCTCATCTTTTTCTTTCCTTCTCTTCTTTCATTCCTTCCTTTCTCTTTTTTCTTCCTTTTTTCTTTCCTCCCTCCCTTCATTTTCTTTCTTTCCTTCCTTCCTCCATCCTCCCCTCCTTCCTCCCTTCCCTCTTTCCTTCCTCCCTTCATCTTTTTTCTTTCTGTATTTCTTTGAAGTGGATTAAACCAAGATCACATAGGATCCCCATTTTACAAATTAGGAAACTGTAGCCCAGGAGTTTCAGTGACTTAGCCAAGGTCACAGATTATCCTCTCATGGGCTTTCAGGATTAGCAGTGACATTCCAGTCCAGGGACCCTGACTAGCAAAGACTTGGCAACACAGAATTGTATGAGACAGGGGAGCTGGGTTTCAGTCCTGACTCTACCCCCGACTCCTGGTCAGCCAAGTCACCGGCTCTGCGTCCTTAACATTTGCCTCTTGCGCCTTCCTGTCTCCATATCCCCATCTTTCCCTCAGTGCCCGGAAACGCCCCATCCCCTACTACCGGCCCAGCCCCTCCTCCTCCAGCAGCCTCAGCAGTTACTCCTCCTGGGACAGCAGCAGCAGCCGGAGCCGCAGCCGAAGTTACTCGCGCAGCAGCAGCAGCAGCCGCAGCCGAAGTAGCAGCGAGAGCATCAGCAGCGACAGTGACGGTGCCAGTGAACCTGGGAGCCACAGCCGGAGTTACGCCTCTGAGGGCAGCTACGAGAGCACAGGCCGCTAAGGGAGGCCTCCCAGCCGTGGCCTCAGGACTCTGGCCCCTTTCTTCGTACTGATAGAAGCCTTGCGTCCCAGGGAGGCTCTAGGTCCCCCACCCACCCCAACCCCTCTCTCCACTCCAAGGAGAAGAGAGAACCCAGCAGCTCTACTCTCCTCCCCTTTGCAGCCAGCCATGAGCCACGCATGCCCTGCAGCCACTCTGGACCGGAATCTAGTGGGGGTGGGGAAGAGAACCACCCACCCAAGGCAGAGGGAGCCCTTTGTATGATCCAAGGACCGCCAGGCCAGTGGTTCAGATATGGGGCTTCGTGGGGGCACCAGGGATGCCACTGAGCGTACAATACTCCACTCAGTTAAGTCTTTTTTCCATAATAAGGGCACGGCCACTGGACCCCATTGGACGCCATTTTGACTCTTTCCCCTTACGCTGGCACACATGGACACTCTGACATCATTTTCACCATCCTAATCCCAACCTGTTATTTTGCAGCTCATCCTAAATCCAGGTTGATAGCAAGAAAGAAAACCAAAGGGCAACATTATCCTGGGGAGCAGAAGCTTTTTGGGGCACACATCCCCCCAAGTTTGCTTTCCCCACTTAGTGAAGGAATGCTGAGTAGCCACACCATCCCAGTGCGTGCCTCTGGCTACGGGGAATGGGGAGGATGAGGTGAGAACCAGAAAGAACAACAGTAGCATTTTATTTGGGAGTTGGGGACTGGCAAAGGGGTGGGGAGAAGGGGAAGAGGGAATGGGAAGGGAGACCCAACACTGGTCACGGATTCTGTGGACGCTTCAAGGCCAGAAGGAGCAGAGAAGGATTATCCTCGCCAGCCAGATCGTCTCAGCGTGAAAGGTGGGAGATGTGGGGAAGAGAGAAAGAGCCACTTGGCTTGACTCTTCCAAGTTCCAACTTGCTTCTGAACTTCGAGAAATACTCACTTCTCTGTGGGAATGATATCATGAAAGATGCTGAACCAGGATGACACCCTGGTAGAACCTGCCCCTGGCAGACGCCAGTGAGGCAGGACAAGCAAGTGGAGGACTGTCCCAATAAGGAAGAGAGGACAGTCCCCCATTCCTAACTGCACCTGGTGTTTCTCGTACAACCACCATGTCATCGGGCCATCTGAGCCATCAGCTCTGGGGCTTCAACGGGCTACTCAGAAGGAAAGACTTGCCCGAGCTCCTCTAGGCCTCTCAGCCAGTACAACAGGCATGAACATTTCCAACATCAACAGGGTTCTCCAGGCTAGGGGAGGCGAGTGATTAAAAAGCCGCCTGCATACAAGCAGCTGGATCCTGAGTGACTCATAGAACTTATGATTCTTTTCCTGAACCCCAAGGACAAGGTCTGATTCATGTCCTCCCAGCTGGCACCAACTTCATCTCATCTAGACACCAGCTGGAAATACCTTGGGTGCCGCTGATCTATGCCAGTAGCCAATGCCTACCGGTCTGGCCTCATTCCTTCCCTCAGCATTTGCCCATAACCTCCCTTATTCCCAAATCCCAAGCCCCAGACTTCAAGCACCCCGGAGTCATCTTCTTGTGATGCCTCTTGGGTCAAAGATGGTATCAATGTCTCCATTTCTCTGATTATGTCCCTATTCGCAAAACCCACCTCACCTCCAGGGAATTTAGCTTGGCTCAGCCTAAATTGCCTAGGTCCTGGAGCACAGATCATGTCCAGCATAGGAGCTGGGGTGGGAGGGAAAGGCTTCTGAGGAGAAGAATTTGCCAACTCATACTTCGAGCATTCAGCTGTTGCTAGCTTTCAGTTAGGGGGAAGCCCCATCCTGATCTAGCCCTAACCCCTGCTTCTTGATGTCACCTGAAGCCTGGTGCCAGGGGCAGCTGTAAGCCGATCAGCAAACCACAAATGCCGTGGGCTGAAGTCATATGATGGGTGCAAAGGAGTGGGAGGAAGAAGTTTTAAATAACACGGGGGCAGATCAGTTGTCAGGAGCAGGGGAGGGGTGAGAGTTTCACTGGTCAGGGCAACAGAGGCAGGAAAGTAGGGTGCAGTGGCAGGGTCTGTGATGATCAGCCAGTTTCCATTATCCTTCCCCGGGGAGGCAGGACAGATACCTTCTCCTGGCGTGAAGCACATTGGCCACACTATGTTGCTCGCCCGTTCAAAGCAGCTGAGAACTTTAATCATTTTTGGATTGTTAGAGTTTCCACTGCCTCATCACCTCATTCCACCCCTGTCCCACACACACACACACACACACACACACACACACACACACACCTTTGTCTGGCAGCTCTCTGGGATCCTGAGCCCCCAGAAGCCAAGTACCTGGTCAACCAAAGACCATCAGATAATACTTGGGGGAGTTTAGCAGTGTCTGTGGTCACTAGAGAGAGGAAGGAAGGACAAAGTTCAACTGAAGTTTCCTTGAGGTTATGAAGACTGCTAATTCCTCTGATTTCCCCATCAGGAGAAACATAGGTGAGGGAGAATGGTGATGTAGCAGATAGAGATGGCTAGGGAAATACTTTCTTTCACACCTTGGGAGGGTGTCTAAGAGGCCTCCCCTCACCTGCCTCTGGCCCCCTGGCTTTCCCCTTCAGCTTTAACCCAGACCCCCCTGCTTCCAGGGTCAGGCTAATTCTGCTTCTAGTCCAGCTTCCTAACATCAAACTCGTGACATCACCACCATAGGAAAAAAAAAAAGAAAGAGAGAAAAGTTGTATCCCAGGCATAAGGAGGGATCTTGACTGGGGAGCTAGAGGGGATGTATAGATAATGTATATATCTACTATGAGATGTGGACCTGACATTCTTTGTTCCTGGAGATCTATGGACAAAAGGCCTTCAAGTGCCATCCAGCCTCTTCTGGGAAGGCAGCGAGCTAAGGAGAAATTACAGCCCAGACAGTCTTAAGAGGCCAACTCTCTACGAGGTCAATGCTGGAACTGGCTTGGGCCACTTTTCAAGGACTACTTCAAATCACGTTATTCTGTGGAAGCTACTACACCTCGGGGGTTTCTGGTCCGCTGACACTGGAGAAAACCCTACTAACTTATTTATTTATTTATTTATTTATGTATTATTCTAATTTTTTGGAAGCAATCTGTCACCGTTTAACAGTATTTATTTATTTATATGGAGGGACAAGCAGGGGGGTGGTTGGGAGGGCACTTTTAAGTTATTTTTATGTCTAATTTATTCATGTCACTGTGGAAGTCTGAGAGTTTACAAGAAGGTTCTTGGAACATCTCAAGAAGCCAGGTTGTAAGCCTTTGGCTCTTACCCTATCCATTGGTGTAACCAAAGTGTAGCGTTGGGTCCTATGAAATCTTACGATGAGAGCAGCATGGACAACGGCACTTTGTGGGGTGGGCGGGAAGGACATTCCTGTTGGTCTTTTCCAACCTAGCAGAAACCATCAAGCTGGGAGACCCATCCGAACACTCACCTGCTACCTCACTGGGAGGTGCATCTGATCTAATTATTTACTGTGGTTATTGTTCTGGGTGCTGTGAATGGAAATAGGTCCCTTTGCTCCCTGTGAAGAGCAAAGAATTCAAATTTCACTGTCTTATATGGAGAGATCTCTGTCCCACAGCAGCTGAATCCATCAAACAGATTCCATTTTGACTCAAGGGGTCAGTTTCCAAAGCACTTAGTTTCTAAGGGACCCAGAAATTATGCGACTGACAACCCAGGAGAGAAAAGAGATGTTCTTTTTGAGTCGGGCCACTCCAAAGACCACCCCCCACCCCCAACAGGAATGATGCCCGATGGGCTATTTAGATCTTTTGTCCCGCTTTTTCAATGTTTCGATTTCCAGCCTCGGAGACATTTGTCTCTGTCAGGTCAACCAGTTAAATTTGGGTGCATTTCCCAAGGTCACTGTTGTTCTTGTCCTATTCGTGTGACTCTGTTAAACACAAACCTGTTTCAATGCCCTAGTCCTGGGTTTGGAAGGATCTTTATAGTATGGTTTATATTTCTGAGTGTTTGTGGGGAGCCGTGTTTTTGGTTGGAAAAAGAACACTGAGCTACTGTATCTTATTTCTATGCGAATAATTGTGAATTGGAAAGAAGTCACTTGTCACCAAGCATGGTGGTCCCCCAGAGGTCTCTGGGAAGGTCAGAAATGGTTCAAGGTCTTTGTCCAAAGACCTAAAATGTCTCAGCTGAAAATCTTCATGTCTCCCAGGGAACTACTGAGTTTTTCCTTCCCGTTCTCTATCAGTCTTTCTTATTTCCTCCTCTGTCTCCTAAGTGAAACATAATCCTTATCACGTCAATAAAGAGCCTCAATTAATCAGAACCCGATTAACTGGGAGTCTCTTTTGCCCAGAATTTCTTTTTTTTCTTTTAAAAAAATTTTTTTTCAGAATTTCTTCTTAGCTTTCTGCTTTTAGGAGAAAGAGTGAAGACCACAAAGAAACCAGTTCTATCAAGGAGCTGGTCTTTAAAATAACAACAACTGATATATCCTAAGGTACTTACACATTCAATTCAATATCCTCCCCATCCTGCCAAGACCATGTAGAATTGATCAAAGATTATAGGGTTAGAACTAAACTATCCACTAAAGTGGATGGTGGAGATCCTCTAGCCCAAAGTCTTAATTTTACATAGGAGGAAACTGAGGCATAGAGAAGTTATAATTTACCAATCTAAGGGCCCACAATAAGTAGCAGAAATAGTGCTTGAACACAAGTCTCTCTGACCTAAAGTCCAATATGCCGTGCCTTTGAGGATGATGACTTTGAAATCCTTCTAACGCATCAAAGAAAAATGCATTAATGTTCACTATCTAGACCATATTAGGTCAGGAAAGACTGAGATGGAAGGAGATGAGGATATCTCTTTGATATGATCTAGTATGCCCTTCTCTTACTGAAGAGGAGACTGAGGCCCAGGTAGGGGAAAGGACTTACCCAAGGTCACACAGTGAGTAAGAAACATAGTTAGAATTCAACCTATATCCTCTGATCCAAAACCAGATTTCTGCTTCCTACATCACACTAACAGACTGA